TGAATATCAATTGGGATTTCCGCCACCGTTGGTTGTTGTTTTCCCTTTGTCACAGGACTTCATATGTTTTATTGGCATCCCGTATCCGTATGAACGCCCCAAGCAACACTCTTTCTTGCACCACCTGCAAGTTGCCCACCACAGTCCGGTCTTCGGGTCCTTCCACTTGTCAAAATTGTTTTGCATAAGGGTATATGTATAATAAGAGAAGATGAAGATGGAGAAGAGTTGGAGAAGAATTGGAGAAGAGGTGTAGAAAAATGTTAGAAAATAGATGTATTTATAGATGTTTTTGAACCCCACTCCCCACACCACCACCCCCGGGACCCCCTGCCCCCCACCCATAGCCCCAACGGCTATATAGCCGTTTGGGAGGTTTGATTTCAATTTTTTTTTTTTAATTTATACATATTGTAAAATAAATTAATTAATTTAATGAATTAAGTAAAACTAAAACTATTTGTACTTAGAAAAGTGGTTTGATTTATAATTTACAAATGTTACAAAATAGGTGTATAAGTATTTAAACAAATTACATATTGTAAATGTATTTTTAATTTAAAAACCGGCTTTATATTTTAGAAAAAAATTTAAGTCGTTAGTTTGTAACCAATTAATTAATTTGAGAAGTGCTACATATGAAAAAGTGAACACATATTTATTTGAAATATGAAGTACAAGTTTACAAATTAATTTGAAGTACAACTACAAATTTACAATTTTGAAATATGAAGTACAAGTTTACAATTTTGAAATATGAAGTACAAGTATAAATAAATTTGACAAGTGCTATAAAATACATTTTATAATAAATTCTAAAATACTAATCAATCGGAATCTCCGGCATAGGTAGAGCCACCATCGGTTGTTGAGTCATCCATAAAATCTTGGGAGGGGGTGATGCTCATTTCTTGAGTTCTACGTGCGGCCTTCAACCAATCGTGGTAGCATATAAGCGTCTCAAGAGACTCCGCGCTCGATCTCGATCTAGATGCCGTTAGGACGTTGCCGACCGAACTAAATTCTTGTTCCACAGCAACTGTTGAAATCGGCATTGATAGTACTTGCTTAGCCATCCGTGCTAAAATCGGGAACGTTCTTTCTTTTGACTTCCACCAGTCTAGAACGTCGAAGTCATCATTTTCTTCAAAATCAACTTCATATGTTAAATACAAAGTAATCTCATTCAATGCACTTTGTTCAGTGACGTGAGTTGTTTTTGTTTTTTTCATAAGATTGCCAAATGCTGATTTAAAAATCGATTTTCCTTTAGATGAAGATGTTCGTGACGGGGGAGGGGGAGCGTTGCTATATTGTACACGAAACTCATTAAATAAGGCATAAAATAAAGTACTAACCTCGTTGTATTCCGTTTTCGGATCTATGGGGTTATCGTCATACATTGGAAATTCACCAAAAAACGCAAGATAATAGAAGTTGAAACAATCTTCCAAATTAGCAAGTCTATAACGAGGATCGAGAATAAATGCAATACCATAAATATGGGGAATATGCGCATAATATTTTAAAAACTTTTCCTTCATAGAATCACAAAAATAATGAACGAAAACGGCATTTTGAAATTCTTTAAAAGCATCGGCGAGATTAACAGCTTGTGGAATAAATTGGTCTGCGGTAGGTTTATAAACATGACTAAAAGTTTCAGTAGCATTAAAAAAATATATCAAAACATTACAAATTTTTTCGCAAGTGTCGATCTCAGCCGCGTTTATAATATAGTTATCATGTTCTTTTAAAAAAGCAGGAAAATGTTCTTTATATCTAAGAACAACTTTAAGTAATTTATAAGTACTATTCCAACGAATACTCAAATCTTTAGGAAAAGCAACATATCTCACACCTCTTTCAGTCAAATAAGTTTGCCATTTTAATCTAAGTTGACCATTACCCCAAATACGTCTAATCCCCCCCTTGATTACCTCCATGGAATCTCCTAACGCTTTTAAACCGTCTTGCACACATAAATTTATAACATGGCATGCACACCGTTGATGAAAAAATCTACCCATCAAAGTATTGGCATCACACAACTCACGCAATCTAGGTATAGCAGCAGTATTATTAGTAGCATTATCGAAACCAATAGCAAACACCTTATCAATCAAAATACGCTCAATCAAAATATAAATATGTTCAGCGGTGTGACGATCATTAAATTCACGAAAAGCAAGAACACGTTTATGCATATTCCAATCCTCATCAATATAATGTGCAGTCAGACCCAAATAATATAAATGATGAAAATCATCCTCCCATATGTCAGAACAAATAGTAACACGCCCATCAAAGTTTGCAAAAAAAATTTGTAACCTTACCTTTTCCGCATTATAAAGTCTTATTATTTCTTTCTTAACAGTTTTGCGACTATAATTTCTAAATTGAGGATTTAAACTACCTTGTGCATAATCTCTTAAAGCAAGACTTTCAGAAAACAAATAAGGCAACTTTTCTTCACAAATTAAGTTAGCCATACCAGTCAAATTTTGTGCATCATTGTAGGAGAAATTACCAAAAGGTTGAGAATTCGCAAACCTCGATATTTGAGTTTGCTTCCCCGTTCCGCCACCTAATTTTGCATACTCCACGGGGTGCTTTGCCTTAAGATGTCTTGCGGCGGATCCGTATCCGTCGGAGGTCCCCAAGCTATAATTGTTGTTGCACCACTTGCAAGTTGCGTGCCAATAGCCGGTTTGTGAGTCCTTCCATTTATCAAAATTATTTTTCATTAGTTCAGACTTACTTTTTTTATTACCGGTGGCGGTTTGGGATGAGGCAGGCTCGTCGGCGTCGTGGCTGCCGGCACCCTCCTCCTCGGCCGTCTCCGGTTCCAATTCCTCCGCATCTTCATCCTCAAGCTCCTCTTCGTCAATGGTCGTCGGCATTTGTTGTTGTTGTAGAAAACGGTTATTATGTCGGGCCAATTCTTGTTGGAGTTGTTCTTCGGACATCGCATCTCCATCTCGCCTTTGGTAACCCGTTTCAAAATCATCTCGGCAAGTTCTTTACCTTTGCGGGATTTCTTCCTCCCAATCTCGTTCCTTCGATTGCGTTGGAGGTTACCCAAATCAACCGAATATTTACCACCTTCCATCTTAAAAATGTAACAAATACTTTTCAATTTGCTTGATTATAGGGATTTGTAATAGTTTATTTATTTATTTATTTATTTATTTATTTATTTATTTATTTATTTATTTATTTATTTATTTATTTATTTATTTATTTGTAACATTTGTTTAGCAAAAACGAGATAGCTACAGGAAGAAATATGGAAGGGTAAGATTTGTCCAACACTCGAAAAACACTCCAATTTGGAGTGTTAAAAATGTTACTTATTGGGGCGTTAGGGAGGTTTCTCGTAACACTTCTAAACACTTACTAACACTCCAATTTTTTTAAAAACAATCTCCCAAACAGGTGTTAAGACCAACATGCCTTAACACTTCCATTACTAACACCCTTCAACACCTTTACCTGACCCAAACGGGCCGTAAGTGTTCTCGGGCAGTATAAGGATGTTTTCTTTTGGACTGTTTTCAGTCCCAGACCAGACCTAAACAGACCAGACCAGACTTCCGTAGTTATAAAATACACATAGACCAGACGTCTACCAGACCATACCAGTTCAGACCAGATCAGCAAATTTCAACATCCTAAATTTGAGCATGACTCTTGCTCATGGTTTCCACCTCCTCTGCCAGCCTCCTCCTCTATCATCGCCTGATGCTTATCATTCATAAATGACAGGTAAGTTATTTTCTTTTTATGCTAAATTTGGTTTTTAAGTCTAGCTATTATGCATTCAACTGTTATATGAATTGATTTCATACCACGACAGACAATCTGCTCTTAAACTTGTAACAAATATTAATTGACAACCAATATAATAATGGATACAAAACTAATGCAACTAATTAAAACTATTTTAATTAATACTTCAAACTAATTTAGTGCAAAGTAGAATTAATGTGTGACTTTAAAATTAAAATTATACCAACTTTTGAAGTACTTTAATTTAGTAAAAACTACTTAAATAAAATGTTAAGTACTTTAATTAAATGATTGAACTACTATTTCTTCCTACAAATATAAATTGAAAATAAGAAAATGTGACTTTAACTATAATGACAATTAACTAGAGTTGTTTTAACAATTAATGAGAATACTAATGAAGTAAATAACTAGTATAATGAAAAATGTAACAACAATGCTAATTAACTAATTAACTCGTATAATGACAAATGTAACAACAATGCTAATAAACTAATTAACTAGTATAATGAAAAATGTAACAATAATGGTAATGAACTAATTAACTATTATAATGATAAATGTAACAAGAATGCTAATTAACTAATTAACTAGTACAATAATAGTTATACTAAGTAATATATAATATAATGTTTATAGTATATAATATATAAGTATACTACTATAAGATGAGTAATACACTTATATTTTATACTTTAATATAAAAAGTATATATTAAGTAGATGTAGAATGTATGTATTAAGTGGATATAATAATTGTATAAGAATTAAATATTAGAGTATAATGGAGAATTGGAGATTGGAAAATAAGAAAATAAGTATATATAAAACAGATATTATAAAGTATATATAAAAGTAGATAAAGTATATATTAAGTAGATGTAGTATGTATGTATTAAGAAATATAAGTAGAGATTAAGTAGATAAGAAATATAAGTAATATAGTATATGTATTTATAAGTAGATAATTAATATATAAATAGATATAATAATTGTATAAGTATTAAATAGTAAAATAAAATATAAAGGAGAATAAGAGAATTTGAGAAGATGAATATGGAGAATTGGAGATGAGTAGAGAGTAGGATTTAGGGAGAGTTGGAGAAGAGGTGTGAAAAAATGTTTAAAATTAGGAGTTTTTTTTAACCCCCCACCCCCCCCACCCCCCACCCCCCACCCCACCCCCCCCACCCCCACCCAAAACGCCCCGGACCCCCCCTGGTACCCCCCAACGGCTATATAGCCGTTTGGGAAGTGGCTGTTGAGCCAAAATGTATTTTTTAAAATTTAAAAAAAAAAAAATTTAAAATGACCGTTAGGCCCGGGCCCGGGCCCGGGCCCAACCCGGCCGGGCCGGGCCACTAAAAACAGAACCCGAGCCCGGACCCGCTTCTCCCACCGGTTCGGTGCCCGAACCAGACCCGGACCCGAGAACCGGGCCGATTCCGGGCCCGTACAGTGACGGGCCAGGCGGCCCAAACCGGGTCCACCACTAGACAAGAGTATAATAGAACTGTCAGTTATGATGTAACGTTGGTTGGATGCAGATATGTTTGGAAATGTCAAGTGACTTCCAAATTGCTTTCGAAGATGTTTTCAAGCTAAAGCACTTTTAAAATAGACTGTCCAGTCGCAAGGCGGAGAGCCGTATAAAATTATAATCATGTTTCCTTGGCATTCCTTGCAAATAGGCCTGGACTTGGGCCGGATGACCCGACCCGGAACCGGCCCGAACCGGCACTATTCCGGCCCGGCCCGGTGCCCCGGTCAGTGACCGGTCCGGGTAGGCCCGATCCGCGTGGGTTCCGGTCCGGGCTCAGCCCCCCAAATCATGAACCGGCCCGGCCGGTTTGGGCCCTGTTCCGGGCCTTTTTAATTTTTTTTCAATGTTTTTTACTTTCCGGGTTGGGCTGGGTATTTTGGGTCATTTGGGGTGGTTTGGGGGGAGGGGGAGGGTTTGGGGTTAACTAGGGAAAGGGAAAAAAAATTAACAAAGGCCCGAGGCCCGGCCCAAACCGGAACCGGGGATTACCCGGGCCGGTTCCAAGCCCCCCATTCCAGAACCGGAGGCCCGACCGGGTCGAGTCCAGGCCTACTTGCAAACACTTCAAAAACTGATCTTTTCAGTTTCTCCAAATAAGGAGTTTTGAAGGTTAAATAGTTGAATGACTTTAAAAATAATTCAATTAGGTTTGATTTTATTTATTATTAAGATATTTCATTTTTTCTTTAATTTTAATTAAAGTAGATGTAGGTTGTAATAGATTTATTGTGCTAAGATAAAATATTTAAATGGCATTGAAGTAATTTACCATATTTGCAATATAAAATATCTTTCAACCAAGTAAATTAGTATCACATTCTCTTAATCTTAACCAAACACGAATAAGAATAAATTGGATACATTCTCATCAATCTATGACATTCTCATGGTAATCTGACATTCCATGAACCAAACATACCCTCAAAGTTATGGGCTTCCAAAACCACTAGTACGTTTTTCACTAAATCAAAATTTAATTTTTGGAAATAAATTTAAATACATATTCTTCTCAAATCACTGGTTTCTTTGGAACAAGTGAACCAGTTCCACCAATAATCTGATACAAACACTTCCAAATAATCTTTCTTGAATCTGAAACACAATGCAAGTCCATAGAAACCAGTTTATTATGTTTGTTTTAATTTAAATTCATAACATGTGCTCATGAATGATAGCTAAATCTATAACTACAATTACCCAATCAGACATTGGAAAAAAGGCATGAAAATTGGGGGAAAAGTATACCTGAAGGGAAGAAGGTGCTCTTTGTAGACATTGCCAAAGGAGCAAAGCTAAAGGAAAAGAATGTTCAACTCACTATATGATTGTGATAAAAAAAAATCTAGGAATGCGTCAGTCAATAAATTGCAGGGGGAAGGGGGGGATAAATTCTGAAAAAGATGAGCCATGAGGACGGAAGCAAATACAAGGACGGTAAAAAAACGCAGCTGCCAAGTTTAAGAGCAGATTGTCTGTCGTGGTATGAAATCAATTCATATAAAAGTTGAATGCATAATAGCTAGACTTAAAAACCAAATTTAGCATAAAAAGAAAATAACTTACCTGTCATTTATGAATGATAAGCATCAGGCGATGATAGAGGAGGAGGCTGGCAGAGGAGGTGGAAACCATGAGCAAGAGTCATGCTCAAATTTAGGATGTTGAAATTTGCTGATCTGGTCTGAACTGGTATGGTCTGGTAGACGTCTGGTCTATGTGTATTTTATAACTACGGAAGTCTGGTCTGGTCTGTTTAGGTCTGGTCTGGGACTGAAAACAGTCCAAAAGAAAACATCCTTATACTGCCCGAGAACACTTACGGCCCGTTTGGGTCAGGTAAAGGTGTTGAAGGGTGTTAGTAATGGAAGTGTTAAGGCATGTTGGTCTTAACACCTGTTTGGGAGATTGTTTTAAAAAAATTGGAGTGTTAGTAAGTGTTTAGAAGTGTTACGAGAAACCTCCCTAACGCCCCAATAAGTAACATTTTTAACACTCCAAATTGGAGTGTTTTTCGAGTGTTGGACAAATCTTACCCTTCCATATTTCTTCCTGTAGCTATCTCGTCTTTGCTAAACAAATGTTACAAATAAATAAATAAATAAATAAATAAATAAATAAATAAATAAACTATTACAAATCCCTATAAGCAAGCAAATTGAAAAGAAGATGCCGTCTGCTCCCTTGGTCAAGTGCCTCGACGAGCCTCATACTTCTCTGTTCGTGTTATCCGTTTGGTACTGATTTGTCAAACTGAAATAGTATGGCTTTTTTAAAATTCTTTTTGGAATTCAAATTGTATCTAGAATCTATAATTTTTACTACAAGTTTATTTTCTTTCCATTCAAATGGATATTGTATTGTACTCCAGTACTTGTGCAGTTCATAGCTAACTTAAATAAAACATTGTATTTAGGATTTAAATGATGACATTATTGTCAATTTAACTTAAAACACTTCTGTTATTAACATTTCAATTTTTTAACTCTCCCAAACAAGATAAGTTTATGGTTTACACTTACACTTATTTTCCCTTCTGGGCCCTTACCAACACTTTTCAACCCTTCATCCAAACAGGCCGTTATTTTCAATTAATTTCAGATCGAGGCGGTTACAAACATTAGAGATTCTAGAGCCCGTTTGGTAGCACCAAAATCGGCTGTTTTGGCTGATTCTGCTGAAATTTATGATATTCTGGCTGGAGTGGCTGTTTTGGCTGATTCTGCTGATTTAAGAAAAAAATATTTTAAAAATATATTTTATTAATAAATTAAAGAAAAAATTATATGTAAAAATAGCTAAAATGGTCCTCTACAGTAACTTCAGCCAATACAGCCAGAAAAGTAACTCCAACCTTACTTTTTCGGCTTATTACACAATTTAGCGCGCGAAAGTAAAACTTACGTGTTTGGTGAAAAAGCTGGCTGATAAGCCTGATAAGCCGAAAACAGAGTTCTCCAAACGGGCTCCTAATGTTTTCCAATCCTTCATACAAACATTAGAGATTCTAATGTTTTTCAACCCTTCATACAAACATTAGAGATTCTGGAGCGAAGGGTTTTCCAATCGAGGGTGTGACGATTGGAATTTCTGCCGGCTTTTTAGAAATTGAGACAACGTAGTGAGGGAGGGGAATTGAAGGTGCGAAGAAATTAATTTTGACTGTGAAATTAACTTGTCGAAGATATAACGGTAGAAGAAATTTTGACGCCATAAGGGTAGAGAAGAATGCGGTCCAAGTTTTTTAAAGCAGTGTACAAAGTCCTATGCACAAGCTAGCATGACACAAATCAAGGGCCCATCTTCGTGGCTCCTCACTAGTTCCGTCCGTGCGCCTCATGAACTCCTCGCGTATTGTTTATTGGGTACGCCTCTTATCGCAAATGGAGTAAATGTCCCTGAGGCGCGATTGCATCGCGCAATTAACAGAGCTATTACGTGAAAAGTATTTTATTAATGAACATTTCAACTATTACTCCCTCCGTTCCCGAAAGAAGTTCCCGTTCGGTTTACAATGCTTGACTGACGATAAAGCAACTCGATCCCTGTTCACATTCGGATTATTTTTAGTAAATAAAATTTACATACTCAGAAACTATATTAAAACCGCTACAAAGCCTGATCAAGAAAATTTAAGTTTGATCAAATTTGATATATAAAATAAAGGATTAGGAGTGATTCAAGTTAACCAATGAATAGTGACTAGGAACTTCTTTCGGGGACAGAGGGAGTATATTCATTAGTAACTTGTATTTTAATACAAACTATCGGTAATTTTTCACTGTAATCACATCTTAATTTTTGTTTTATATTGAAAAAAAACACAATTTTGTTACCGCACAAGATCCCATTTTCTTGCGACCGAACATGCTAGTTGGACCCAATGGTTTTTAAGTCAACTCAAAAAGACAAAACCAAACTCCTAAAGTCATGGACTACCAACTCCAGACTCTGCCTCCTGATTTAGACCCACACATGCATTTGCTAGAGCTAGGAGAATCCGCAAATCCGGCGTCGGACCTCCATTTCATAGATTGTGAGTTCAAGTCTTTTAAAATAGTTGGAAGGAAGTCATCACTCCTGAAAGTTAGTATTGTCATCGTTAGCCCCATACATTGGAAGAGCGTGAACACCGCCGCTAGTACATTAAACCTCTCACTGGGGAAAATGTTTCAAAACGTCTTTTGAAAAACCAGGAATATATAGATCAAACTAAACCTTTCACAGATATAGCTCGGGGCTCTTTGGGTATCTACATTTCAAAGTGTGGGTTGGTCATAATATAATTAATTGTGATTTGCCGCTGCTTGAGAATACATTCAAGAAATCAAAATTTGGCTTCACGATCAAGGATAATGAATCAGATGATATCAAAGTGCTTGATAGATGTTAATCATTATGTAGATGTGGGTTTCAAAAAGGAAAGAGAGATATTGATTCTGCGAGTCTTCAGAGTTTGGTCAACCATTTCAAGATGAATGCAAAACAGAAACACAATATTATTTCTGATTGTCTATTACTCTGTAATATCATAATGCGGTGCAGTATCGTTCTATTCTTGGAATCGGCAAAGAGACATTACTGTTCAGATGCAGCAAAGTATACTGAAAATCAATATGTGGAAGATCAGTTTCTAGAAGATCAATCTATGGAAGAGGACGAATCTAACTTCATTGGCGACTTCCAGAAACTTCTTCCACATATTGATCTTCCAGAAACTGATCTTCCACATATTGATTTTACGTATACTTCGTTGCATCTAAACAGTAATGTTTCTATGTCAATTCCAAGAATAGAACGGTACTGCATCGCATTATGATATCACAGAATAATAGACAATCACATATAGTATTGCGTTTCTGTTTTGCATACATCTTGAAATGGTTGGCCAAACCCTGAAGACTCACAGAATTAATACCTCTCTTTCCTTTTTCAAACACACATCTACGGAATGAATAATATGTATCAACTACTTGCGATGCTCGCGGGAATTCAAGAATTTTGATATCACCTGATTCATTATCCTTGATCATGAAGTCAAATTTTGATCTCTTGAATGTATTCTCAAGCAACGACAAATCACAATTAATTATTATGACCAACCCACGCCTTGAAAATATAGATACTTAAAGAGCTCCCGAGCAATCTCTGTGAAGGGTTTAGTTTGATCTATATATTCTTTGTTCTTCAAAAGACGTTTTGAAACATTTATCCCACAGAGAGGTTTAATGTATCAGCGACGGTGTTCACACTCTTCCAACGTACAGGGACAAACGATGACAATACCAACTACCAGAAGTGATAACTTCCTTCCAATTATTTTAGAAGATTTGAATTCACAATCTATAAAGTGGAGGTCCGGCGCCGGATTTATGGGTTCCCCTAACTCTAGCAAATGCATGGGTGAGTCTAAATCAGGAGGCAGACTCTGGAGCTGATAGTTTATGGCTTTAGGAGTGTGATTTTGTCTTTTTGAATTGACTTAAAAAGTCATTGGGTCCAACTAATATGGCCGATTTCAAGAAAATGGGGATCTTGTGCGATAAAAAATTGGGAAAGTTCCTGAAATAGGACTAAAAAAGTTTGAAAATTCCAAAATAGGACTGTCATGTTTTTATTCCCAAAATAGGAGTAAGTACTGCCAAGTTTGAAAAATATTGTCATGTTTGAAATCTGATATTGCCAAAACATGACAGTAATTAATCTTATTTTGGGAATAAAAACATGACAGTCCTATTTTAGAATTTTCAAACTCTTTTGGTCCCATTTCGGGTAATATCTCTAAAAAATTGGGCTCTCTTATCAATACAAAAACATAAATTAAGATGTCATAACAACGAAGAATTATTGATAGTTTGTGTTAAAATAAAAATTATTAATAAATATAATAGTTAAAATAAAAATATTATTAATAAAATACATTTCACTAAATAGCTTTGTTCGAAATTGCGCAACGCAATTGCGCCTTAAGGCACGCCTCAGGGATATTTACTCCATTTGCGAAAAGAGGCACATCCATTTCACGCAATGAATAACGATACACAAGAAGACACTTCATGTGGCGTACGGATGGAACTAGTGTGGGGCCACATGTGATGGGCCCCTACGGACTTTTTATTTTTAATTATATATGTATATATATTGGAGAATTATACAATTAGGCTGCCGCGGGCCCGCGACAGGATCCACCGTTTTGTGCCTCCATTTAAGGTACTTTCGGGTGTACTTTTTTGATAAAAATTTGTAAGCATGTTCTTTATTAGGTGTCGATTATTTCCACAAAATTTTAGCTTAAACTTGAATTAGGAAGTCAGTTAAATAAATTATTGAAAAATATTGTGTCTTTAATATATATTTTGGCGCAGTGTTTTTCAATAATTTTATTTACCTGACATCCCGATTGAATTTCAAGATGAAATTTGGTGGACATAATCTACACTTCATGAAAAGCATGCTCACAACATTAAATCAAAAAATTCAACATCTAAACACCTCTAATGGAGGTGAATCCTGTCAGGCCGGCCTAAAAAGATCATTCCTCTCACTGCGTAACTTGCCGCCTTTCCCTTTCACATCTTGTGTGAGTTTTAAGATGTATTGTGTATTTGTGTAGTTTTTTAATTAATATTTCCATTTCTAAAATTTTAAATTTTGTGTTCAAGCTTATTATGAATTTATTCATTATTAATCCAATTTTATATTTTTTTGTGCAAGTCGATTACTCTCTATTGTGGACTTTATTCATTATTATTCTCGTTTAATGAATTGTTAATTGTATTGTAATTGTGGATTTGTTGATTTGTTTTTTTTAATGTTATTTTTATAATTGTACTCATCTTAGTTCAATTATAGTCTTTCTAGGTTGTTTGATTGTTCTGTAAATCGTGTGTTCCCTCTCGGAAATACATAGATGTTTTTCTTTTGTAAAAAAAATATAGTGGTATATATATCTAGCGTCAGAGCCTCTTCGGTACTTCCTCTTGCCGCCGCCCGCCTAGCCAGAGAACGGAATTCCCGGGGCCGTAGCAAGCCGTCTGCTTTGTCGAGTTGTCGAAGATTTTACCTTTCTCGTTATGTGCCCCTTCAACATCTCTGAGCTGGTTCCGCCACCTATGAGGCGTACGTCTCTCAAGCTTCTATCGGCAAGGTAGGTTTAGGCTTAGAAAGTACAAGATGGGCCTACTTTTAAAAAATTCCTAGATAAGGCTCAACGCGGCTTAAGTTTTTTTTTTTTTTTTTTTGAAAATAACGCGGCTTAAGTTAAAACCTTCGAACAATCATTCACGTAAACTCCTGCAGTCCTACGCAAGCTCCTTTGCTTCAACTTTTAATTTTGTAAACCCTTCTCACTGAATCGTAAACTCCTATCTTCTGTGGTAAGGTATGATTTTGATTTTATTTGGGAAAGTTCCCGAAATAGGACTAAAATAGTTTGAAAATTTCAAAATAGGACTGTCATGTTTTTATTTCCAAAATAGGAGTAATTACTGCCAAGTTTGGAAAGTAATGTCAAGTTTGAAGTCTAGTACTGCCAAAACATGGAAGTAATTAATCCTATTTTGGGAATAAAAACATGGCAGTCCTATTTTGTAAATTCCAAACTTTTTTAGTCCTATTTCGAGTAATATTCTCTTTTTTTAATATAATAAAAGATGTTCTGAATTGTAACAAACGATGCTAACAAACTAACAATATGTTCTCAGTTTGTCTTGTTTCAGTTTTATATATTTGTCTACATCAATAATGGTTGTTGATTAATCAGGATCCTGAATGTGTTTATGACCTATTTATTAAATAATATTAAATAATAAAACTCAACACACAAGATACTTTGAACCTCCCCAAGCCGAGTGAAAACAAAACAGTGCAAAAATAAGCTTATTGATGGTGGTTCACACTATCAAAGTCACACTCATCAATCTCATAATCTTAGAACTTTAATAGCTAGAAAATGTGTTCTGTGTGTGAGGTTTGAACATACAATTCTGATGAGTTGATGACCTCATTTTTGTTAGTTTGTTTATGAAGTTTGTTATTTTGGATTAACATTTATTTATTATTACTTCTAACATTTTCAATTCACAAATGCTCTACAAATGAGTTTTACACCTCAGCATTACGCCTCAATGCGCGCTTACAAAATACGCCATACTATGAAAACGCCTCATATCCCCCATACGCAATTTCGAACATTGCTTAGTAATCATAATATCAATATCTAATACTTAAGAACAATTTACCTGGTTCAGCCGTTCAGCAGTAACTAGTCAGCACAGTCATCAGAAGTTTTGGGGTCGAATTGACTTGTTCTTCATAGCATATTTAGGCTTCTTCCATTCTCATCACTCTCGGTTTTGGCCTTGTCCAGGTTGGTTTACTACCTCGCACATTCCATGGAAAACAAGATTAATTAAACGCTTATAATGATTAGCAGGCAGTTCATTTACGCTTTTAGAAATACCAAACACTTGCCAGTTAGGCTTCACTACATATAATTCTCCCGCGAGCCGGATAAACTACTTATACCCTAGAAGTAATTTTTAATTTGAAATATCAAAACAATTTTCAATAGAAATCCGCACAAATATTCATATACTTAAACGTAAATTGTGATAGAAGATTTTTTTTTCAGATCAATTAAATATCATTCTTACAAAGTAATTATTTGGTCATTTAATTTCTCAATAGAAAAGTAGATTGGGTGCAAAGTTTTCACATCAGTCATTTAACCTGTTTAGCAGAATACTTACCTGAAATTCAGAGATTAAGTGTGATCCATCATATGCATAATTCTTCACGGTTCACACCACAATTGTCTATACTACATTTAAAGCTTTGCCACTACGAAGTAGGGGTAATTATCAGTGATTGAGCTTTAGATATAATGTTTTTTTTCACATATCTTATATGGCCTAACATATCCCATCGTTTTTACTTCTTTTGTCTACCATTTTCTGAGGCTCCAAACAAGTGGTAAAATTTTTTATATCTCCACCACTCACAGTTGATATAATAACCAATGGTTTTAACTTAAGCAAAATGGATATCTAATTGACATTACCCAGGAGGGACTCCAAATATTCACACAGGTTATTATTAACCCCTAAACTATACAATTGGAAACAATTAAGCTCATATGTGACACGTGTGACAACATCCAATAAGCCATAGCAAGGACAACATAGATATTTAAATCACAAGGATTGCAGGTTAATGAGCAAACAAAGAGTTAGTTATTTATAATGATTAAAAAAAAAGGCTGTGTGGAACTGCTCTTTTAGTACAATAACACTTCAAAGCATGCTAGTAAAAAGGAATACCTTATAAATGGGGCAGAAAGGAGTATTTGTTGCATTACAAAGCAGTAGATGCAAGCATGGTTTAAATAGCAATGCCGCAATTTAGACCCCACTATACTTGAAGGAGATGCCTGCATGACAAAAGTACTATTTAAACTGATCTCCAATACACTTACAATTACAAATACAAGTTCATAACATAGTAAGTACATTATTAGTTGAAATGTTGAATATATACACTTAGGATGTTTTTACTTGGACTGTAATTTGTCCCAGACCAGACCAGACCAGACTTGGATAGTTATAAAAATACAAAGAAACCAGACCTTACCAGACCAGACCAGACCAGTTCAGACCAGATCAGACCAGACCAGCAAATTACAGTCCAAGTAAAAACATCCTTACTCCGACAGTCTGACCCATATGCTTCAGACTGGCGAAACCATGATGTGATTGTGGGCCTCCATGACATCAACACTTACTAGCTCCCCCCAATGCCGAAATGCAAATCCAAATCTTGACTGCCACCTAAAAAATCAGGAAAAAATCATTTAAATGATATAAGCCAGAAACTTTGGGGTTCAGAAACAAGCAACAGAACCAAATATTTGCTTTGGTACTAAACAATTGCAGCAACTAGTTATTGATTTTGGTTACAAGAGCAATACAAATTGCAGCAAAGTAACTTAAAAACTGCAGCAAATAAGGAAATAGAAATTGCACAGGAAGAGAAGAAAATTCTAGTTCTGTGCTAAATCTTGAATAATAAAGATTAATGACTTGCTGCGGTTTATCAAATGCTTGGAAAAAATAAAGGTTAATGACTTGTTCATACACCGGAAACATATAATAGAGTGACAAAACCAACCAAACAGGGGCTTTATTTTATTTCTAATAAATGACGTGTTTTTATTTTGTGGACCTCGACTTCATTGTACTTCAGATATCATCTTCCCTTCATATGAGCTTAATTAGTTCAAAGCTAGTAAATGCTTCCTCCCACTCTGTTTTATGGCAGCCCCATCATATGCCCGGATAAAAAGTCATAATCTTATTGTAAGTAAATGTATTCTGAAATTGCCAAGTGGGGAGGATGGATTATACGGAGTATATAGGAAAAATAAAAAGTGAAAATATGAGATATTACCCGAAATAGAACTAAAAAGGTTTGAAAATTCCAAAATAGGACTGTCATGTTTTTATTCCCAAAATAGGACTAATTACTATCATGTTTTGGCAGTATCAGACTTCAAACATGACAGTGTTTTCCAAACTTGACAGTAATTACTCCTATTTTGGGAATAAAAACATGTCAGTCCTATTTTGGAATTATCAAACTGTTTTAGTCCTATTTCGGGAACTTTCCCTGAAAATATTTGTTGGAACTTTGCAGTTTCTATCTCATAGTCGGCCCCAAATAGATATACTGTAAAAATAGGAGTTCTTAACCGATTCTTTGGCACAACTAACTGAACGGATACTTTTGTAAATTTTATAATAACTAGTAGCTTACATTATTCTGAAACGGAGGGAGTATTAAATTTGTTAGTTAAAGTGCCGCCCAAGGTGCATAACCCTGAACTGAGCAATTTCTACTACTCCCAAGTCCCTTAAAACTTGACTAAATTTGACCGGCACGTGAATTGATAAAGTAAAAATTATGTGGTTGTTGTTTGTGCATAGGAAAGAGAATTAAATGAAATCACAAATTATTTATTTAAAAGGGAAATTGGAAAAGTTAGGATATTATATTGCAGAGGAATATTATATTGCAAGTAGCAAAGGACCAAGGATAGGATAGAAAAGAACCTGATCAAGGAGGAAGAAGGTCCAAGCACGAGGCATACTGAAGGGCCTTGGTATGGCTGCGACCACGGCTGATAGGAGTGTATAACCCGCACATATTCCATTTGCGTGCACCAAATACCTGTAAAATATACATTACATGTACAATCATTATCATAAGACTAAAACATGCTAATAACTTTCTTCAAATATCTGTGAATGGACTTCTCAATATGATTTTTGAGGTCAGAATTTGTTAGTGGTTAATTGTTTTAAAGGTACTACCGTACTACCAGTGTCCTGTTCAAAAGTTTACATTCTAAAATAGTACAATTGTTTAGACAATAATTAATTATGCTTATTCAAATATATTTTGAGAAATATGTTTGATGGATCATGGATATATAATATAATGTGTTATTAAATTTTTATTTATGAGTGGTAATGTAACTGTTTCTCAAAACAGAAAATGAAAATGTGACTACTAAAAAAGGAGTGTGAGAAGAGAAGGGTATTTCATTTTATGACATGAATATGATTGACATACTCCAATTTAATTCCAAGTCAATTCTGGATGCAACCCCAAGCGGTGTCGTAGTCAATTGAGCTCTAACAAGTAATTGAATCCCGATACATCTCAATAACAAGCACACAAATTATAAGATTTATCTGCTCTAATTATTTACTACTCCCTCGTCTGGAAAATTCTAAATTTCCCACTTTCCTTTTTGAGAGGTTATAAAAAGTTTTTCCTATTTCTTTTTTTGGAAAGTTTGTGAGGCTACTATTCATTTACTTTTTTCTTACTGAAACACAACATACATTTTCATTCTATTCTCACTTTCTTAAACTTCAATCCAAAATAACATTGGAAGAATCTATGAGGAAGCAGAGAGTATAATATCTTCAGAGCTTATTAAGTGTTCCATATTTACTTATTTAATCAACTGTTTAGCATAAAATAAAGAAATTAAAAGATGTGAGAAGTAAAATGTATGTAGAGGAAAAGATGAGATGAGGACATACTTAAAGGGCAAAACATCAGAATAAGAAATGGAGCCAAAGTCCGTGTTACTTTGGGAGTTCTTGAGCATCAAAACCAGCGCCACCACACACAGAGCCATCGGAAAGAGGCGGAGCAGAGTCTCCGCCCTGCGGAACCCCGCGGCGGCGCTTCCTCTCTCGTCCTCCTGTGAAGAACTGCCAGCATTACCATCCGCCATACCCACAGCATTGTTGGGGGAGAAGACCGCGTTTGTTTGGTAAGTAACAGTTGCTTTGCCCTCCATCATCATGAAATTAATATTTCAACTATATCTTACAATATGTATATTCTTTCAATCCTTGATATATACTCGTAGATGACAATGTTATATATATACTAATGTGTATATATCAGTGGCTTTGACTTGACTTACCTTGCCTAGCAACAGAACCTACAGAACTGACAAAATTGAAGAGAGAAAAGAGAGACGTGTGGGGAGTTAGTGGAGTGGAGCGGAGGGCAGGGAAGGCATAAATATAGAGAGGATGGGGTAGGGCATAGGAAGGTAGCTAGATTGGGCATGGAGGTAGTTGGGGGTAGCACTAAATGCTCATAAAACCTTCCCACACCTTTCATCAAACACATGGGCGGCATGCACCCTCTTTCTTCATTGAAGACTGCCCTTTGTTTTGTAATGTATTGATCCTCTTCCTCCTTTCCAAGACTGGGTTCAAGGGCACTATACAGCTGCAGATAGGTAGGTTTAGGCTTAGAAAGTACAAAAAATTTGAGCAAAAAATACTATCGGGAAGACCCCCAAATGGAGGAGGCCGGACGGGGGCAGTGGTCAGGTATACCTGACCTGAATATTTCTCTCTCTATATATATATATATAGAGAGAGAGAGAGGGGGGAGAGAGTAGTCTTCATGTCAGGCCGGCCTGACGGGATGCTCCGTCCGGCCGAGGGTATTTCGGGCACTTCCTGGTGAAATTTTTTGATGAAATTTTTTAAGCATGTTCTTCATGAAGTCTAGTTTATCCATACCAAATTTCAGATAAAAATTCAATCGGGAAGACAGTCAAATAATTTGTTGAAGTTAACTGCGCAGTTTATAGGGAAAACTGTCAAATAGGTCCTCGAACTTTCATAAAAAAGTCAATTAAGTCTTTCTATAGGAGGTTTTGTCCGGCCGTCGCGATTTGGGACAGTTCCCGGTGGAATTTTTTGATGAAATTTTTTGAGCATCTTATTCACCAAGTCTAGTTTACTCATACTAAATATCAGCTAACAATTCAATTGGGAACACATTTAAATTAATTCTTGAAGATAACTGCGCATTTTTGCGTTCTCGAATTAATTTGAATGCGCTCCCGATGAAAGGGCGGCGGTTAGCACAAGGCAACAAGTCGAAGAGGGTTGATGAGCAAGCTGTTAAGTCTAGATGGAAGAGACATGCCACGAGTAAGATAAAAATTAATGTTGATGCAACATTAAATAATAGGCAGGGGAAATGAGCATGGACCTGGATGGCAAGAGATGAGAAATGAAATTCATTCGAGGGGATGCAAGGTGGTCAATGCGGATTGGACGGCAGATTGTCTCTTATCATATTTGGTAATATTGGAGTGGTTACAATTCATTCTTACTTTATTCACACTTTATCAATTCAATATCAAACATATAATTCCACTTTATAAAAGTTGTGTCACACCCCTTTGTTCCAAACATAGCGGGACTAAGGTAGTACTACAAAGTAGTCATGTCTGGAATCATGATGACCTAATGGGAAGATACAAATTGCATTTATATCTTCAAAGGTACATGGGTCAGGTCGATGTATGGTTGTGCACAATTCTATGGGTAGTATGGATTGTGGATTTTGGTTTAGGCAGTTTCCAATCCTACCTAAAACATGGCACGTTTATATCCAGACTTTCCACTCAGACCAATCTTCACGTATGATCCATCATTCCATCCACATTGGCCCGATTTTATTAATTATGAAGCGTTGTACCACATAATATGATTACTTGTGGATAATAATTTTGAGATGGACGAAGGAGAATACGTACATAATTTCAGGAAGATTGTTATTCTTGATTACATACTCCTACAATCACAATTTAATATTTTGAGGTACTACTACATAAGTCAAATTCCAATTAACTACCCCTTTATACATTTAAAAACTAATTTAGAAAAATGTCTACACTTTTAATTTGGTACAACACAAAAGGAAAAATATTCTTAAGAAATGGGACGAAATGAATAATTAACTACTGTATTGTTTACCGATTTAGAAAAAAATGTATCTAAGGTCATGAAATTCGAGTTTCACAAGGTGGAACAAACACGACTGGTATCAAATATCAAGATACAGTTCTCTCTTCTCCCTAGAGAGAAACTCTAGCGGTCGTCTCCCCTCTTCGTAGGGGTTGAGATTTTCCGCCGCCCCTATCAATATGGGGTTGGAGCGACAAATGTTACCGATTTTAAGTGTTCTAACGCTGGAGATTGCAACTACGTCGGAGGAGATAGTGTTGGCAGATGAACGAAGTGCGGTTGAGAGGTTGTATCGAGGTGGGATCATGAATCCTTGATTGGCCATTCCGACGGTGGTGGAGTTGGTATTCACCCATATTGTAAGAGCTCGTCCTCCTCCGGAACCACCTCCATACTAGGCAGAGTTTTGTAGAAAGATTTTATTTCAGTATTATTTTCTCTTTAGTAGCATTTGTTTCTGTTTTAGTATGAGTAGATTTGTTTTGAATGTTAATTTGGATTTTTGGAGTTTTTTTGATAGGCATGGTTTCGGTTCCGACCGTTTTATGCCTAAATTTGCCCGTCTCAGTTTTAGCGAGTCATGTTGCTTTGTATGAGCTGGATGACTCTAAGTCTACTCCTAGGGTTCATGATTGAATCTGTAATTTCTATTTTAAGATTGTCTTGTATGTGTTCTCGATTTTAATATAACGGCCGCTGTTTATGATAAAAAAAGGTCATGAAATTCAAAATGTACCATTATGGAAGTAAAAAAGATGTATACCTGTACAAAATAGAAAGAGTTAGAAATCAATTCACCTCTCAAACTAAACCTTGTTATATACGTTTTCATCAAACATTTCCCACATAAATGTTGACATTTGTGGATGAGATTGTCTTACATAGGAGTGAAGATATAGAACTATGGGGTGTTTGGAATTTATTATATTTTTGCTTCTTTTTTAAAAGCAGAAGTAGAGGCAGAATCAATTTTTCAGAAGCTGGTCTCTCTTCCCGTCTTCTAAAAAGGCTTCTAAGGGCATTTTGGAGCACTCAAAAGTACTTATGCACTTTCATCCAAACATTCTAATATCTGCTTCTGCTCGTTGAATGAGCAGAAGCAGTTTTAAAAGGTAGATTCAAACACCCCTATGTTTCAAGATCGAATTCCGCTAAATGGCAGCGTTAGAGTAACATTTCAAAGTGAGAGGTATTATTGTTTAAGAGGTATTCAGGGCCGGTCCTAGGGGGAGCTCAGCAGGGCGACCGCTCTAGGCCCAAAAAAAAAGTAGTAAGAAAATTAGGCCCAAATTTTTTTCTTTATATGTAATCTGAGTAGGCTATTTTTTATTCATAGTTCAATTAATTAATTAGGCCTAATGTGTAATTTTTGTTGACAATTCGAGAATTTTAAAACATAAGTGAAAAGTCTTGAACGGAGCTAGACAAGTTTTAAAAATGAATATAAATTTAGTTTTGATTTTTAAATAGAGTGGGTTGCTAGTCTACACATTTGTTGTGGAATCAATAAAAGCATGTCTCTACACATCTTTTTAGCCTTTAATATTTTTTATTCTTTTAATTACAAAATTACCAATTTATATTATTGTCTTTGGGTTGCCAGTGCCTCGCAATTCTCAAACATCATCCCAATTATTTATTATGCCTCAAAAAACTTAATGGATTAACAATTTTAAACATTGCACATGTGGTCGTGGAAAAGATTAATTATAAAGCAATTATTGATGATTTTACTTCACAATGTTCTTTTGTGATATTTGTGTTGTTACTTTTGTCCAAATATGCAATTCAAATAATATGAAAGTGAATTTTATCTTTATTTTATAACCTTTATTAGATAGTTGTAGGGAGAATTATATTCCTGAATTAGGAGTAATTTTTTTTTGAGAATTTCAAAAGAGGACTGTCATGTGTTTGTTTTTTGAATATGAGTAATTACTGTCATGTTCGGAAAATACTACCATGTGTAAAATATGATACTGTCAGAATATGACAATAATTACTTCTATTTGGAGAATATAAACATAATAATCTTAGTTTGGAATATACAAACGTTTTCAGTCGTATTTAGAGTAATTTGTCCTAATTTTATTTTACTCCGTAGTTTTTACTTTAAGTACGTAGTATAATTTACCGTTTCTCTTGGAAATAAGGCCGAAATATCATATCGCCCATAGGCCCAAAATTGGACAGAACCGGCCTTGGAGGTATTACTATAACTTATAACCTTTGTGCTTCATTGAGCATAATTAGGAGCGTAACTAACTCATAAGGAGCGTAATTAGGAGCATACTAGTGTTTTACCCGGGCGTTGCCCCGGGCAGATGTTGAGAATGTTTGTCTACTTTGTAAGATATATATTTTATACAATATGTAAATAAGGATATGATAAAGCAATGCATCCATTTGAGCGCTATTAAGATATTCAACAATGTACATATCAACATGGAAGGTGATACCGGTGTGCGAAGGAATAATATTAATTGAACTAAGATATGTAACTCATATTCTAGCTATCAACAATAGCATGCAGTTACTTATGTCAATAATAACGTATAATGTGGACGCAAGCTATGATTACTCTTTTTTTAACCAAGTAGGCAACCCACCAAAATCAATGAGATAAATGTCGGGGAACATTTACCAGATTTTATTAATGAAAAGAGAGTACAGAAGGAGAGGGGGACATAACCGAGACCTCTCCAGTGAAGGAATGCCTTCACAAAATACATGTTTACTCTTTCTTAAAGATACATGTGCTGGTTCACTTTCAATAATAAC